CCTGCAGTACCTAGAGTGTTATGGAATCCCATCACCCCATCGTGTGAGCGAACTTGGATCCCTTCTACGCCTCACAGTTGTGTTTTTCATCTGCGTTTGTGTTGTCGTTGGGGGCACAAGACGCAGAGCGGCTGGACGGGACCAGTGGATCTACTCACGTGAGTGGGGTCAGGTTCCGAGGGCCGCATGATCCCTAAGGCCCCGAACTCCCCTTAGACTGGCGTTTCTGAAGGGGAGTTTCTCACATTTATCAGACACCGGTCGTAACCGGCAGTACTTACCCGCTAGATTTTGCGAAGTCTTCTTCAGGCCGTACGTGGCACGCACTCTACTGCCAAAACGAGTATACACTCCTAAAACACCGGACAGAGCATTTGCAAATCCTTGACAACAAAAGGCATCTTCCGTCCCCTTCCCTCCTCACTCACGAAGACTTCAGCTATTTGGTTAGTGATGCACTCCCACGACATCACTCCGGTCAGCCCTGCATTTCTACAACTTCCCTTGTATTTAGACTGAGTGACTTCGTTACTTCTCATTCTCATTCACTGAGAAGCGTCTGGAAGAGCGAGGTAGCGAAGATACTAGACCTGCGTTTGGATGGGCTCTCTGTTTTTCGTTGTCCGATCAACCTATAAACTGTAGATGCATCCGCAGCCAACAGATGTCACCAGAACACTAATGCCGGTATCTTTAGACTGCCTACAGACGAAGAGCACGGGCTTCCAGCAAAAAGGCAACAACGTTAGAGGTCTAACAAATGCAGCACAATCGGATGGAAAATATTTTATCCTGCGCAGAGGCAGGAGAGATATTAACAATCCGAACGAGTTTCCGGAGTGACTACGTGCCCTCATCAACGGACCGGTAGCGATTCAAAGAATGGGCATCTGCAGTCACTCCACCTAAAATTTGAGGGCTGGGAGCTCAACAAGTGTGAGCAGAGGAGCTCGGATCTTTATACTTCCGTGTTGTAGGAGCAACAACGGGCACAGTTTCTTTAAATATATGGCTGTCGGAAGCTCCTCTTACTCTGTGTTAAAGGAGCATATAAGGATTTGTGAGGCCTCTACAAATTTCAGCAGCTCTCTGTCACTGGAGGGCGCGATTGCCAAGGCCTCAGCAGAAAGGTTGCCGGCAGCTTTCCAACGCCACTCTTTCCGCCACTGCGGCTTGGCGGCAAAACGATCACAGAAGAGCTCAGAGTGATGAGTCCAGGTAGTGCCCCAATACCCTTCACGTCCGGCTGTGATTCTGGCCTTGTACACTATTGTCTGTGCTACAAAAACGGGCAGCTCAATTATCCTATGAGTTTAGCACTTCCAGCTTGCGGCTGGTTGGCCGGGCAGGTCCCTAGGCCAAACCTCTCTGCAACGGTGGTCTAAGGAGGTGCCGCTCAGCAAGTTGCGGTGCTAGCATAGAGGTAATTCGGTTATTGGAATCACACGCTTCCACAAAGGGGTTCTTATAAACTGGTGGACCCTAACGTGAGGAAAGGTCAGAATCGCCGGACGCTCCCCATGAGTAGCATTTCCTTCACGCTCATTCGTTCCTTCCACGGGTCCTCTCCGTTCACAGTGCATCGTGTGACTGGGCTTATGGGCCATCAGGGAACTTACCGGCACTACCAGAGCACTTTCTCATGGAAGTTGTTACCACTGTCCGAAAGTGTAGCCACTCGATCTCAGTATGCCCAGCAGCAGAGCCAAACGGTAGAGAGTAACCGTACCACACATTTTCTTCTTTGGCTCGGGTGTGAAGACCCAATGATTGAACTCACAACCGCAGCAAAGCCGCTACACTAGCCCTCTAAGACGTGCCGGTCAGAGAATTGCCCTACATTTGTTTTATAATACCGGAGTAACATTGACGCTTGTGTTTCGGACGGATATTGCACTCAGCCTAGGTTAGTAAGCCTCCTTCTTGCTTTCACTGCTACCCGCAGAACCGATGCAACTCGGGTACATCTCCCACAGCAAGCAATCGAACTGGATTCCCGCGTATAGGCACACAAGCTTGGCCCAGCATCTAACTTGCCAACCATAATCAGCAGGTTCAAGTTTCTGCCGCGCTTCTATTGTCTTGCTGTAAAGAAGGCTTGGCCTTCTTTCACGACCAAACGAGGCTGATCGCGTTTGCTAGTGGGGTAAATTGTTACAGGTCCCCACATTGGGTGCCTCCCTGTATCGACGTAAAACCTGCAATATGGGAGTCAGCAGATTCTCGAATGAAAAACCAGGAAAAGCAGTTAAACAACAACGTCGCTATCAAAGCTTTCTTTGATATTATATGGGGCACCTTGCTGAACTTGAGCAAGCCTGCAAGTCTTTTGCGGATCAGCCCCTACATCTGCTGTCCAGCCCCACGGCGCATGCATCTTCAGGAGCAGCCCCATGGTTCATAGTAATGCATTTTTCACTGGTTTTAAACGATACTTTTATATTAAACTTGTACAATGTAATATTTGAGTACAGTCTAAGTTGCTTTTGGCGCCAATGTTAAGTATTGTGTCAAGTGTATTCTTCAATATGCTTCAGACAATTCATGTCTAGCAACTTCTCGGTACTTCGACTGTATTTCCACCATGGGAAGCATCGGCGACAGACAACCGCCACGCCGGAATGTTAGCCTCTATTGGCAGGAAAAGGTCTGGTTGCTGCTGGACGGCCTTCAACTGTTGGCTATCCTACTATCCACTCTACAGCCATTCCTTCCCTATGGCTGGAACATTTGGACGAGGGGACTCGCACTTTTCCTCGTAGATATACCGACATTTCTGCGACCGCTTTCAACCACAAATGAATTGGGTCCTTATCCGCTCGATGCAGCGGGACGCGCAATCGTCCTGTTGTTGCTGTTGATAATAGTGGCGGTGCCTGCTGCAACATGGCCAAGACTTATTTATGCCTACGAACTTCATCAAAGGCAACTAGAACTCGACAAGATAAAAAAGGAGCAAGAGCTCCAGAGGCTTCGTCGACCTTCGCAAGCCCGCCCTTCTGTCACAGCCATGCTAGCGTGTTCGGTACAAACTTCCTCCCCGACCTTCGTTATGCGTTGCAAAACTACAGCACACAAAATATGCACGCAAGCTGTTCGGGTTTTCTATGGCGTAGTGGGAATAATCGCAAAACTGAGAGCGGCGATAACCCTGTTTTTCCTGCCGGCTTGCCTGGCGATAGAAATGCCTTTAATTTTCTGCAGCGACCAGGCTGAGACTTGTTCCTCGGCTGGGCTACTGATAGTTCGAATGGTGTGCTTCCTAGGCGTCTCGATTATTTTTGTACGTGCTGTGCTTGAGCTTTTGCACGATATGAGAAAGGCGACAGTAGCTCGGCACGGTAGACCGCAGGAGGAATATATTCAGCAGAGGGAACTAGAATATCTACTATACATAAACAGTGACTGGATGGAAAACAAGGTTTGGCTTGTTTCGTCGTTTAAGGGCGGACTGTTTCGAAGCTATTTTAGAATTTGGTTGCTATTCCTAAAGGCAGCGCTCATCGCATCCTCTTCTCTCCTAGGTCAGCGAAGCTCGCTGCCACCTACCGGACTCGGTTGGCTTGCAAGCTTGGGAGGCAGCCGTTCATCCGCCTTACCAATACAGGTGCAAGCTGAGTCTCTTGCTGATGCATTCCTTCAGGAACCACTGGGAGAAGCTGCCAGAATAACAACTGCAGCAGTGTTAATGCTCGTTTTTTCTTGTTTTGCCATTTGGAGACCTCCCTTTCGGTGCCACAGCAGCAACTGCTTACATATCCTTGTCTTCCTCCACTTAGTGGGCGTGACTGGCATAGGCTTGGCCGCAGCAGGATCAGGAGCCAAGACAAATTCGTTTCTTCTCTATTCCAACCAGCATTTGCTGCTTGCAGTCGTGCATGCAGTATCGTTCGGTCTTTTCTTTTGCCTTTTATTTTTATGCTGGATCTGGTGTTTCGTGCCGGCTGAGAGCCCTTTGCTTCTGCAGTACGAGCTCACGATGGGCTACAACAGCAACAGTTGCAGCAAGAGCAGATACGCCGCAGACGGTGGGGGGACAGTGGTCTCATTTTTCCACAACGTTTTCCTTGCTGCCGCCCTTCGATGGAAACAGTCGTGGTTTGCAAAGTGGACTGCAAGCCCTTACGACAGCTGGAGCAGCAGTGGCAGCGGTAGCACGCTGGACTTAGGGGAAGCAGAAATTAGGGAAAAGGACTATGCTTTACAACCCTTTGAGGCACCATGGCCTACAAGATATCAGCATGCTCGTTTCTGGATTCGGGTTGCTCCCAGGCTTGTGGAACAGCTTGTTACGTCGAGTCTTCTTGTTAAGCGTTACGCAGTAACGGAAAAACAACTGTTACCAGTGCATCTGGCCAACGCCGCATTCAGAGATCTCGAGGCTCTTGTTGTGCAGCACATAGGAGCTATCGAGGAAAGGGACACCAGGAGGCGGAGTCGACGCCAAAGCAGCAAGAAACTGGAACAAGAAAGCAAACAAACGCTCGAGCAGTGGCTGCAGGAAATCAGAGCTTCACCTTCCAAAGGTTTAGCTGCAGACATTGCCCACGATACTAGGCGAAACGGATCAATAGATGCAGCAGGCGAAGATAGCCCAAGTGGCTGGAAGGACAGCACGAAAGAAGAGAAGTTTGTGTTCGAACAGCAGCGTAAGGGGACGGACGATAGCTTATGGAGCATTGACAGCGCCGCGGCAGCGGCAGCTGAAAGCGCTGCGGCTGCAACGCCTCAAGCCCTCGCTTTTAGGCACTTAGAAAGGGCTGCACATCTTTCACGAGAGTTTAAACATGCCAAGCTCGAAGATTTGCAGCAACTGAAGACCATTACGAGGGCACTTGAATGGACGGTGGCTGAGGTGTTTGAGAAGATGTCAGGTGAGAGAAAAAAGCCCATGCCGTAAAGAAGGGAAAGACAGGTGTTTGGTTATCCTTCATGTTGTTGTAGCTTTTTCCGTGACAATTCGAGGGCTTCATCTAGTAATTCTGCATTATAGGTGTGGCCGTCCAGCTCATGTGGACATTTAATCTTGTTTGTTTCTGGGTTTGCCTACGTCGCAGCGATCCGCGCCGCCGCAGCTGAGGAGTCCATTTGGCAGGAAAGCGCAGCTCCGCCCCCCGAAACACAAAAACTTCTCCATGACTTTGCGCTGCATCTGAATAAGCGAAAGCGCCAGATGGCGTTACTGCAGCCCGTGAGACAGAAAATCCTACTGAAGCTCCTTGCTGTCAGGTTTCTCACTGACACTCCTCAGCAGCGGGAGAAAAGGGAAAGGGAAAAACGCAGGCAGGTTGCTCAGCTTTTCGGAGAGGAAAGCAGCATCCTTTTTTTTACACAACAAGGGTGAAAATTCAAATAATGCTTTTATATCATATCTCCAAACGCTGCTGTTACTGTGCGACGGGTTACTAGGGATCTGGTAACACAACAGTTTCTAGCCCAGTGTTTGAGCAAATTTTGCCAGACGAATCTGGGTTTTCGAAGTAGCCCCCCCTTTAGCTAGCGCACAGCTTTCAATCCTTCTGACTCTGTAACCCTTAGCTCCAGTGACGCGCATGACACGCATGGCCAAACGGGAACCAGAGAAAACAAATGTCACGGAGAGAGGGTTTTATCTAACGGCCGAGAAGATCCACCCCCCCATACTGCGTGTACTGGTTGGTCTGGCAAAGGGAACTGACGGTTAAGATACAACTATAGAATCTGATATATTTCTGTTGCACCGANGGTTGGTCTGGCAAAGGGAACTGACGGTTAAGATACAACTATAGAATCTGATATATTTCTGTTGCACCGAGTGTGGGGATAGAAGCTGGGATGAAGCTTAGTGCGAACGTCTCTTCAACATCCCAGGCCGCTTCCTCTCGCAGGGCGGGTCACGGTGCAGAGTGTTCTGAGGCCTCAGACAGAATAAGATGGAGAATGAAGGAGGAAAACTATTCTCTAGGCTGTTCTCTTTGTTATCGTGTTTAAGCAGATGAGATATCTCACGGGTTGTATTGGCAGAGTTTACTTGAAGGTCTGCCAATACAACCGAGTTTACTTGAAGGTCTTAGACAAGGTGTTGCAATGGAAACTGGTGCAAGATTTTAAGAAGCATGACATAAATAGGCTCTCACTCAAAAGCCCTAGTGTCCTGGGCATCCTAAACGAATCTCGGGATACCATCTGAGGGGCTGACTGATAAGAGCACACACCTTCAAAGTTGTGCGCATCCCAAACGAGTCTAGGCATAGCATGTGAGGGGCTGACTGATGAGAGCACACATCTTGAAATTCTTCTGCAGACCGTAGCAGCCTTTTTATGGATTCATAACACCACGCCCGGGGAGGGAACTCCAATCGCGACTAGGCAGAACGTCGGCCATTGTTTGACGTATCCAGTGGCGAGTGTCTCATCAATGTCGGAGGGCCGTATGATCGCGAACTGCCCAACCCGCCTTAGCTGTAATTTTGAAGATGCTTCTCACGTGCAATGCACGCTGCTGGGAAGGCAGCGCATAGGAAATGTATTCTACAAAATAGAATCGGCCGCCGGAGCCTATAGGGGGGGAAGCCGCTGCCCGATATGGTCAATATCAGTAAGCAGGGCTTAGAAATACGCATNCTATAGCCCTATAGGAATACGCATCAGGCCTCTACAGCCCCTAGGGAAAGTTCCCCTCTGCAAGTTGCAAAGAACTTTTTCAGTTCCGGATATTAGTGTAAGCTTTTCGGCAGTTCCCGATATTCGTATAGCCTTCTCTGCGGTTACCGACATTAGTGTAGCGTTCTCTGCGGCTTTGGTCTGCCCATCGCTAGTGCATTTTCCAGTCTTCGGTTTCGCGGGTGTTCGCTCCTCCACACGAAGCGATGTATATCACGAGGTGGACGACCACGTTTCCATGCATAACCAGGGCTTTTCGGCAGGGTGCAGAAACTTGAGAGTAGAAAAAGGCGGACGGACCAAAAGGATGCTTTCTAAGGCGTAATTGATGATTCCTAGGCTTTATTTTGCCTTGGTGCTGTAAGCTAAAGCGCGGGGCTGTTGGTCATTAGCTAGTGAGGATCGTCAGCCAGAGCGATTAGCCGAGTGTTTACTGCTCGCGTACCCTGTGTACGCGAAAGCGTCTGAATTGCACGTCGGTGACGGAATCGAACACCGATGCTTGCCAGCGAACAGTCGATGCTCGACTACATGAATGAAATTTGCCTGGCTTTTGACGTCGAATACTATTCAGAGCAAAGTATATTTCCCCGAACAGCCGCTGAGCTTCATCAAATCCAAATGCCCCAGCGGCTGTTCGGGCAAATATACTATGTACCGTATTCAGGGTGACCGATGAATTCTGATGGCGTGTAGATATCTTGTCCATTTTGTCCAATATAGCTATCGTTACTAATTCTGAGTAGGTTGCCGGCAAACCATCAACTGCATCAAGATAGAGACATGCCATCAGAACTGATCCGTCACCCTGAATAGTACACAAAGTATATTTTCCCGAACAGCCGCTGGGGCATTTGGATTCGATGAAGCTTAGCGGCTGTTCGGGGAAATATACTTTGCTTTGAATAGTATTCAACGCCAACTTGGACAAAACTCATCGCCTCTATTGCTCTCGACAAGCACATGTACTGCCGTGTAGTAGCTGGCAAGTCAAGATGCAGAAAGGTTCTCAATATGGAAATTCCCTGATGCTCTGCACGTTTGCCGGTTAGGTCTTGTACAGATTACGATACTACTGCAGTCTTTAGACTGTTGTTTCAGAGAGAAATGAAGCAAGCAAAAGAACAATGTTGTCTGATACAAGGAATGTGCGACTGGTTTTTGCGATAGTTCTATCTGAACGCACGGAGTACTGAAATTTTCTCATGCTTTCTGTAGACTGGTCAAGAGGCATGCTTTGGCAGTGCCCAAAATGGTAAATTGGTTACATATAATCCTTTATGTGGATTATGTGGCGAATATCATAGGGTTCAACGCCTATGTGGCTATTTCTACTCTTTTTGGATAGCTCTAAGGACACAGTAGTGCTGTTCCGATGATTAGCTTTAGGTCGGCTGTAGTCTATTTGAAATGGGGCAGGAAGGCTGATGTATACAGGTTGGACCAACAGCGGAACGGTGTTCACAGCATCTCTAGCAGTACATATAAAAATGTGAAACTGCCCAGGCTGGCTGCCGAAGATTGCTTTCCATCGGGCAGCCTACATGGGTTTTGGCGGACCCAAAAATTCCCCGGACACAAAATTTGCACGCCCACGACGGGTATTCTTAGCTGTCGAGGTGAACGGTAGAGTTCATTATCAGTAAAAATTGCAGAGGTTATGAAGGCGACGGCCGTAAGATGGGAAGTGATTAGGTCTATCTCTTACACAAGAACATACTTTTAGAGATTACATCCTGAAATCGGAAGCGGCCCGCATGCGGAATACAATGCAAAAAGACTGAGCCAGTGTCAGCTGACCAAGCCTAATTAGTTTTGCAATGTACACCAATATACGCTAATTTTTTTGCTTGAAATACGTCAAACAGTATTAGCTTGATACTCCAATTAAGGACAAGCACTAGGGGCTTCGAAAAGTTTTTATTCTTTCTGCTTATGTATAAAAGCACAAATCGATTTTTTTGTGGAGATAGCTGAGGGAGAAGTCGGCCTACTGGAAGGCTAGCGGGCTAGCTTTCTAGCGTAGGGAGAAGAATTTGTATTCACCACACCTACAGCTGAATGCAAGACGGAGCCCTCAAACAGTATACCTGCTTTCAAACAGCAGCAATACCTGCAGAATCCAATCGGGGACTTAACGGCTAAAGGTATCTGTGCGTTTCTACTGTTCAAGCTGTTTTGATGCCAGTAAGGGGGTTTCGCTTTCGTAAGCGTAACTGGCTGGTGACACGGAATTGGGATGTAAGCAACCACGTGTTACTATAACTCCTTATCAGAGGCAGGCACAGCAAGGATTGTGTTGATGCGTTTTGTTGCTTCCTTGTCTCTTTTCGTTGCTGTCTCCTGCAGCAAAGCGTTTTTCGCACAATGCCACTTTTCTCCAAAGGATTTAGCCAGAAGCTGAGTATTGCGCGATAACGGCTCACGGAGGGAAAATTTCAGCTTCGTTATTTCGCCACCATTTTCATGTTTTGCTGTTGAACGACCCTCGAGGTATTTTTCAGCTCCTCTCCATCCTCTGCCATGAAAACGTTCATTTCCCCTTGGCATATGGCAAAACAAAAGAAATGGGTTTGTCATCTACCACAATCTGTCGTTCAGCACGCATGAAGGCAAGGTTGAAAAAAATATCCGTTCTACAGAACCTTGCTAAAATCTGGGAAGCATCATCAAAACATAATAGGTTCGTCACACGCTGCTCCTTAAGAGGCCTGCTCTCTGATCCACCTACTGCATCTTATCCGAATCATAGCATGTATCTGGCAGAAGGCACTGCGACGAAAAGTGTAGGATAGAGGCATACACTATAGACTCGCCGCCCAGTCATAGACTATGAATGCCGCTAACCGCACATATGAAAGGATTTGTGTGGGTTTGGCAAGAAAGGGTGAGTATCGACTGGAGTGAAAGTAGATGGCACGCACTGCTCAACAAAAGCTTATGATGGAATGCCCGGGAAGCGAGGTTAACTGGTTTTGCAAATTCATCTAGGCTCTGTATGCTATGAAGTTGGTAATTGTAGAGGTTAACAGAAGCGATTTTTTCGGTGTGCAGATTGGCACTCAAATATTCTAAGGAATGTTCTTTGGAGGAATGCAAAAGCCAGAGGCATTTGGCATATAATCATTAGCACAAGGTGTTCATACCACATACGGAAACTGCCGCAGTTATCCGTTAGCTAGAAAATGAGATAGAGAGCTCGCAGTACGCACGGCAGGTCATTTGGCTGCACTTCAGGGAGTGGGTGCTACTTCTTCTACGCTACTCTAAATGGCTATTGCCAGCATGACCTTCGTTGAGGGGCGATTAGCCCCGCTTTTATTTTGCCCTGACCCCATGGAAATCTCCGCCTCCAAGGCGGAAACTAAAACTACGTGACTTACCCCATCGGTTAAATATACTATTCATTATACTACGTACAGGAATTTTCGTCAGCGGGTTCTTTTGTTGGAATCGCATGAAAAATTTGTTCGCGTTGATGGTTAGTGTGACCAGCTTAAGCTTGTCCTCATATACGGAGTTGCCCAGCGCAGCTGGCCAATTGTGTAGGATGAATCTACTCTGAGCTTAAAAAATATGGACGTTATTTATGCAATAAACGAACATGTCGCGTGGCTTTTTTTACCCCTCAGAGCTCTTCCCAGAATCCTCGATGACCACATTTTGCTCGTTTGCCGCGCCGTTCTATGGCCGCCCAGCTAG